AAGTTCATGACAAGTGTCATACAATATATAACTCATGGTATGTAGAAAAGTAATGGTGGTCAGACCACACTGCTAATAACCTGGATTCTAATCATACTCAAAAACCCAAATCTTTAAAAAAATAAGGCATATCGTATTGACCTTCATCTCCAAGCCCTTCTACGAATCTTCTTCCTTCGGTCCTCTTATGGTTCATCTTATAGAAGGATATCCAAATGAAAAGAAATTTATCGCAAGGGGTTTTCTTTTCTCTTTGGATCTCTTGTGTTTGAAATGTCTTATTTTTATAGACTTTCACAACTTGATACATAAAATATAATTATATCATAAAAAAGAAAAATCTAGACTCTCATGAAGAGTTATCTTAAGTAGTTAAAGAAAATAAAAACATCTTAAGTAGTTATATATAAAATAAAAGTACTCATGTGAGTCACACTTGGCCATATTTTTATTTATTTGGGGGCTAAGTGGACAAAACACTTATAGTAATTATATAAATGATTTATTTATTTTAACCCCCTTTTATTAGCGCTGTATGAGCATGACCACATGCAAAAATATCATTAGTATCAAAATCGCCTCTAACCTATAGATAATCAATCGCACACCACATCATAAAGAAAAATATAGTAATAAAATTTATTATCTAAATTTTGATTTAATTAGTTCCTAATGCAATGCATGCTAGATAAAAGTATACAAATCATGAATGCTTAAAATTTTAAAAAGACTTAAAAAATATTTTTTTAGAAGACTAGACATCCTTAAATTCGATATCTCATCCTCATAGGTCAAATTATATGAACTATACCCGCATGCGGGGAAGTGTCTTAAAGTAAGGAAAGGGATGATGCATTAATATGCATGCGACCTCGGACGATTTTTGGCTTATTACCTAGATCGTTAGCTTTATATGTTATTTAATTCTTAAAATTTTAGATTTTAGTTACGAGTAAAAAATTTATCTCTAAGGAGCCTAGCGAAATCAGGCGTATACGCATAAAAAAAAGAAACCTATAAAAAGTAGATAATTTCTACTATACAAGCAAAGTAAACACATCAGTATAAATATTCACCAGAGTAAAAAAATAAAGCCCAAAAGTTCATGACAAGTGTCATATAATATATAACTCATGGTATGTAGAAAAGTAATGGTGGTCAGACCACACTGCTAATAACCTGGATTCTAATCCTACTCAAAAATCCAAATATTTAAAAAATAAGGCATATCGTATTGACCTTCATCTCCAAGTCCTTCTACGAATCTGCTTCCTTCGGTCCTCTTATGGTTCATCTTATAGAAGGATATCCAAATGAAAAGAAATTTACCGCAAGGGGTTTTCTTTTCTCTTTGGATCTCTTGTGTTTGAAATGTCTTATTTTTATAGACTTTCATAACTTGATACATAAAATACAATTATATCATAAAAAAGAAAAATCTAGACTCTCATGAAGAGTTATCCTAAGTAGTTAAAGAAAATAAAAACATCTTAAGTAGTTATATATAAAATAAAAGTACTCATGTCAGTCACACTTGGCCATGTTTTTATTTATTTGGGGGCTAAGTGGCTAAAACACTTATAGTAATTATATAAATGATTTATTTATTTTAATCCCCTTTTATTAGTGCTGTATGAGCATGACCACATGCAAAAATATCATTAGTATCAAAATCGCCTCTAACCTATAGATAATCAATCGCACACCACATCATAAAGAAAAATATAGTAATAAAATTTATTATCACAGTAATCATCACAACAAATCAAAACAACCAGCACATGTGCCACTTGTAAAGCATCACATCACAAAAAATAGAAAAGAAACACTATTCTAACTTAGAGCTAGAGGTCATATTCCAACAAATAATTCTATGTGTGTGTAACAGGCTGTATGGCATTAGGTATGTCTTATATTAGATAATTAATTCAAGCTACTTATGATCTGATTTGTTAAAGGTCAAATGAGAGTTTTGATTAAAGTTTAACTATAAATATTTTGAGGTCAATTTTTATTAATTTAGTTGATTGGTCAGTTTTAATGCAAAGTGTAATATTTTCTAAAGTTTAACTTGAGTTAGTGGATTTCAGAAGATCCACGATTATCCTACCCGCTAAGTTGGAGGGGTCCAAATGTGACTTTTAGAAACATGCTAGGTTTTGGGGTTTTAGTATTTTTATTAAATATTAGATCTTACAAGGAGTAATTAAACTTTTAGTTTGCTAGATTTTGAGTTTTTTTACACAAATTTATGTTTTTTAGAAGTTTCAAGCCTAGTTATTAAATTATAGTTGACCGAGTTGACTTTTTAATTTAAGTTTATTTTTGGGATGTTCATATTTTAAATAAATACTAAATTTTAATCAGAGTTGAATGCTTTTTAGTTTACCCAATTTGGATTTTTTTTAAATTAATTATAATTTTTCAAAATTTGGGTATTTAATGAATTATTAAAATTATTTAATTAAGGGCATCTTAGGAATTTTTATCCAAATCAATCACAAACCTCTTGGAATCACCACCAAAGGCCAGAAATGACCTAAGGAGATGTTTCCAAGTGCTTGGAAGATTTTTGAAATTTTTAACAATTTTTAATTATTTAATTTAATTAAAGGGGCAATTTTTAATCAAAATTAAATTAATGTTCAAATTAAGGTCAAATTAAGGGATTTTTAATTTTCTTAGATTAGAGAATAAATTATGAAGAGTTTAATATATTATTGATAATTTTTTGATTTAATTTAAATTTATTAGAATTTTTTGAATTTATTAGAGTTTAATGAAAGGGGTGAATTAGGGTTTATTAATTAAGTGACTTAAAGGGTCTTAAAAATTCCTAGAAAATTTTGGAGGGTTTGAAATGTTATTAAGTTTAGATTTTTCAAGTTTCATATTGTTCGGAGATGTATCCTAATCCCTAGAATATCTCTAAGTTTTCTTCACAGGTCCTAAATTATTGTCCTTAAGGTGTCACTAAGTTAAATACATTTAAATCTAATGTTATTAACTAACCCTTGGGGTAACATAAAAGAAAAATGCAACAAATCATTGCACATCATGTCCTTAAAACTAGGAGAGCCCAGGCAAAGTGTTACTGCATCCTACACTTATAAAAAAATTAAATAATAATTAAAATGATTAATGATGTGATTTGAGAATAATTAGGGCATAAATATTCACTAAAAATTCCCCATGAATCCTATTAATATGCACAACATATGTTTGAATTTTCAAATGAATATCTCAATTTTAAAAGATTTAAATATATATGTAATTTTAAAATATTCAAAATACACACACACACACACACACACAAACACACACACATATATAAATATATATATAAACCTATATAAAAATATAAGTTTAAAATTTAAATAATTGAAAAATATTAAAAGTCCTCTAAATTTAAAAATAATATTTTATAATTTGTAGAAAATATTTTAAATTTAATTTAATTTAATATTAATTAGGCATTTAAATATTTAATTAATTTAAAATTACTTTAATATATTTCTTAGGTTGAAATTAATTTAAAATCAAATAATTAAAGTAATAATTCTCTGAATTTGAAAGTAATTATTTTTAATTATCCATGATTTGGGATACTTGGGTTAATGGGTTGGCGATTTTTGATTTCCTGCATCCTATTCCTTTGGGTTCCGTTGCTGTGAAAGATTATATTTAATGTGGTTCTTGGAAGGTGCCGAATCACTTTCCCTCGTTTTATCCATGACATTTCTTATCTTCCAATATAGGAGAGACCCATTGCTATTATTACCTGGATTGGAAATGGTGATCCTTGCTTTACAACCTTTAAAATGCATTTCTTTATTGATTTCCCAGGAGTATCTTGGCATAAGTTCATATGCATAAGCGTTTGGCCCTCATGTTTTCTTCTTTTGTTTGGCTAGTTGCTCATAATGGTCTTAAAATTGCAGATGTGTTAGCCAAAATAAACATCCAGATTCAAATCACTTGCCCTCTTTGCCTTAAGGAGGATGAAATCATTATGCATATTTTGTTCCAATGTGATTTCTCTTTTGCGGTTTTATAATTTTTATTGCCCAATTTGGAGGGGTTTCTTTTTAGGCCTTTTATGTTGCAACTTTTTGAATTTTTTTGATGAAGTTCAGTGGTTTAATTCTCATGAGAAGAACTTATGTTATTTTGTTATTTGTTGCTCAATTTACTTTATTTGGCGCGAAAAGAATGACAGCCGGTTTGCTGGAAATCATATTACTCATAACTCTATTTTTCACAAGATATGTAAGGCTATTTCTGCTAAAGCCTTACGATGGAAACATTTTGAAAGGTTGCTCTCCTCTTTTTCTACGTGCTTCAACCAACAAATTTGATTTATAGATGGGTTTTATTCGGTTCTCTCCGGGCAATGATAAGTTGATATGACACATCGCTTGTTATCCCCTAGAAGGCCTCGTCTTTCCATCAGTTGGCTGGTGCGACAATTGGCCTGACATCTCCTTGCACCCTGCTAGAACCCTCTTGTGGCCTGTCCTGATAGCAACCGGGTTTGCATCTTCATTCAATCGTTGTTTTTTGCGTGGGCTATTGAGCTTCTATTGCCATGACAATAACACTGCCCAATGTGTCGGATCTGGCTGCTCCTGAGTTCATCGGAGACTTTAATTTTGTATATTGGGTTGTTTTTTATTGCCCTTGTTACTATTTTATTTACAGCTCTAATTTTACTTATATTTGAATTTTAGAGTTATTTTTTGTTCTTTCTCATTTTATCCTTTTATTTATTTATTTAAGGACTAAGCCTTAAATATTCCCAATAAAAAAACACGTGGAGTTCGCACTAAATAATTTTTACCAATGAGCGGTACGAAACCAGAAGCTTTAGGCCGCGTTGGCAGAAAAATCCCGTAATTAATTAATGAAAAATATTTTTCATTACCCCAAAAAATCACAGTGTTGCCCAAATAATATATTTTAAATTGATGTGACAATTCAGTTTCTAATAATATGAGAGCGAACGAGCCCCTAACCGCGCAGCCTATCTGTTCGGCTTATCTTCCTATGCTTTCTTGATCGCCCCCCATTTCCGGTGGTCTCCATTGTCGCCGGCAATCTGCGGCACCGCCGCCTTTACATTAGTATCATGAAGCAAGGTTCGCTTAATCGCTTTTTTGCTTATCGCTTCCTTTTTTTTTTCACTTTGTGAGTTAGAGTGGCCCTAAGCTATGGATTTTTCGCGGTCACTGGTTGGATCTTTTTCTGAGGAGCTCGACCTTTTCCCTCCCCTTTGACGTCTGTTTTCCGAAGAAGAGCGGGTTATAGAACAAAAGAGCGAGTTGAGGAAGGTCTGGTGGAAGAAAGATAGGGATAATTAAGGAGCTATAAACGCTTGGGGATGTAATAGCCAATGCCTAAGAACGATTCAGATTTGTGTTGTTGTTATCTCTATCTGCTCTGGGTGTTCTTCCGGAATTAGCCAACGTGGATATTTCGCATTTCTGAGATGATACTGGATCTTAACGGGACATTGGGCGCTAACTGGTCGTTCGCGCAGAAGAAGATCCTTCAGGAAGGATCTTGCGGTGGCCAGATGGTTGATTCTGGGTCGTCGAACTCCTCCGTCCTCAATGGCGAGGAGTATAGCAACATTTCTGAAGATGACATGTCTTCCAGTCACCCTGCCTTCCGGTTTGGTATCCTCAAGGATGCAGTTGAGTTGGAAGAGGAAGTCGACGAGATCAGAGTCATTTCTGATTCCGACATCGTTACACATCAGCTTTTTCCGCAACATCCGCAGGGTTTTTCAGAGTGGCATTCGGGGAGAACAGTGACGGCGTCGTCGTTGTCCAGGCAGCCTTTGGAGGACCTTATAATCTTCCAGTCTAATGTGCCGGCCGCAGGGGAGGTTAAGCTCATCCAACCGCAGCAGCAACAGCTTCAGGTAAAGAAAAGCAGGCGGGGGCCGAGATCCCGCAGCTCCCTGTATCGGGGAGTCACGTTCTACCGGAGAACAGGGAGATGGGAATCTCACATCTGGTAAATAACATATTTTAGCCCTTTTTCTACGAGGCCTTCCCTGTTTTTCTCTCTCTCTTTTTTTTCTTAGTTTTCTTTTTGTGTTTCAGGGACTGTGGGAAACAAGTGTATTTGGGTACGACTACTTTTTTTCATATTTGTTTGATGTTCTGACTCGAATGAGTAATAGCGATAACGATATGCTGACATTTCTGCTATGATGTTGTTTCGATTGATTCTACAGGGGGTTTTGACACTGCTCATGATGCAGCCAGGTTAGCTATTTTTTGTTTTTTTCAAAATTTTTTCCTATAGTTTATCTTGTTGATTGAGTGGAGTAAAATTTGATTGTTTTTTTTTTTCTGAACAGGGCATATGATCGGGCTGCCATTAAATTTCGTGGGCTTGATGCTGACATTAATTTCAGTCTTAGTGATTACGAGGAGGATTTGAAGCAGGCAAGAATTTAGATGCTTACTTATTGAGCTGATCCGTGTGATGATTTTTATTGAGGGTTTTTGAGTTAGCTACTTTACAAAATAACAGATGAGAAATCTGACAAAGGAGGAATTTGTGCAAATACTACGTCGCCGAAGCACTGGTTTCTCAAGAGGAAGCTCAAAATATAGAGGGGTGACCCTTAACAAGTGCGGTCGGTGGGAAGCTCGCATGGGACAGTTACTTGGAAAGAAGTATAAGACTTTTCCCATTTATTTTTGTGATTGAACTTGATTACTTCTCCAGAATTTAGGTATATTGATTTTGGTTAATTAGAAGAAAAAAGCAAAGGTGTTATGGCCTCTGATCTAATAGTATTTGATTTCTCATATGAAACTGTAGAAAAACATGAGAGAAATAAATAATTTTTCTTTATTCATCAAAGTATTTGAAACAAGTTATTATATTGACCTATCTAGGAATACAACAACAACAACATAAACCATTTATCCCACTATATGGGGTTGGCTATATGATCCTTTTTTCTCCATTGTGTCTTGTTAAGAGTTAAATTCTCAATTAAATTTAATAAAGAAAAGTCATTTCTAATATTTTCTAACCAAGTCTTTTTGGGTCTATCTCTACCTAAAATAACTTCAGATTTTAAACATAGGTTTTGAGTCAGTGGGAACTTGATTTCTTTCATTGTCATGAATTTATGGGATCCTAATTTCCTTATTTGACATAAATCCATGAAATTCTGATTATCATCTTTTGCATGAATTTGTAGGATGTTGATTTACTTGATAAAAATGTGTGGGATCCATTTGTTGGATTCAATCAGAAGAAGACTAGTAACATATACAAGCTGTCCAATAACAATTAATTAAGTATTTATTAATTATTCATTTACAAGTCCCCTCAAAATGGAGCTTCGATTGGAGAGTTAATTCTTGGTGCCCAATGTAGGAAGTGAGTGTGTGGAAGTAGTTAGGTGAAAGTGTTCTTTAATGGATTCTTAGACAATATATATAACACACAAAAGATACTATTTTTGAGTAACTCTTAACTAAACGATAATAAATAACCACATGTTTCATCCGTGATTGAAAGAAAGATTTACATATAGATTAGTGGTACCCACTTCATCACAATAAATTACTCAGGCTTGAGTAATGAAGATGCCTAGTTTGATGATTAGGGAGCTCATATGCAGTTGTTGTAATAACCCGTATCTTGACTCAGATCAATATTTTTTTCTGGAGTCATTATAACTCCAAAGCATAAACCGTCTTCGCCATAGTGTTGTTATTATATTATTTTACTTGTACGAATTTTTTCGTAATTTTTTGGGTGCCGGTGAAAATCATTAAAAAAATTAACACTTGTCGGTACAAGTGAGGATTTTGGGACTGTCAGTTATTTGTTTTGCAAATCGATTTCACTAATATTTTTTAAATAAAATGATTTATTTTATTGATATTTTTTGGAATTTTTAAAGTCCTAAAATAATTTAGTTGAATTTATACTAAAAGAAGTTGATTAAATTAATAATATAATATTAAATTTTTAATTAAAATATCTAAAGTCAATAAATTGTTTTAAAACATTTCTCTTCTCATTTTTGGCTAATAGAGAGATCCTTAGGAATTTGAGAGGAATATGAGGAGAGAAAAAAAAAGTTAAGATTTGGAGGCCACAAAGTGATTTTTGTCAGTCGGCCCGGTTGAGGGTTTTGCTCATCTCGCTGTAAGGAACCTTTATCCTATTTATGATTTCAAAGATTTTGTATTTTTGATTTTTTTCTGATCAAATTTGTGTTTTGTTACAAAAAAAAAGAGAATAATTTTGTATTTGTCAAACTTTCACTGCATGACTTTTTATATGTTATAAATATTGAGATTATGTATGTTTTGAGTATTTATTTGAGATTTTTTACCATGTGATTTTGAAAATACAAATATTTTTTTCTACTCATAAATTTATTTTGACGTTTAAAAATAGTGATTTAGTTTAAATAAAGTTTCATAATGTTATTTTATGCAATATTTGGTAATTTAGTTAAATTCTGATAATGAGAATTTTTGCTTAGTATGATTTTTTTTATCTACTGTTAGGACATTTTGATATTTTTTGAATTAAGCTTTATTTACTGCAGTGCATTGAAAATGAATGTGAATATGTGATTAAGATTACTGTTATATTACTTTGATAATGTGTGTAAAAGATATGTAAAGACTAGTTGACCTCTTGGTTGGAGACTGATTGACCTGTACATGATGGTGGACCGACAGACTTTCTTTTAAATACCGTGGTTTGGTGTTATCATCTACTGATTCAAGTGATACACTTATTGGGAGTTATAAGGAGATGATTACTGTGCTGACGAGCAAAGAGTGACAACTCTGTTCACCAAGCCAACGATTTACTGATACCGTACTGATGCTGATACAATATTGAAAAACACCGTGATACTCATGACTTCTTAGTTGTTTAGTGTGACTATTGAAATGCATGATCTTGAGGTATTGTTTTTATCATTATACGAATTTATTGTTACTGCATGGATTTACTGTTATTACATTATTTTGCTACTCCTATCATTGGATTGTTATTATTACCGATTTAGATACTGATGCTATTTGATACTGATTCACTGTATTAATACTAAGTATGTGATATACTGAGGACGTGATATATAATACATGGATAGTATGAATACGCTCTTATCTGATTTTATTGTATTGATTTGATTTTAACGGTATTTATTAATGTTTTGATTTGATGTTTTATACGATTTCTATACTGATTGATATTACTGGTACGAAGATTGTTTTAAAGAATTGGCACTCATTCTGATTTGTTATTTTACTAGCTTTCGTATCATAATTTTTACTGTTTATAGTTTCCATTACTTCTACATGTGAATTTTACTGTTTCTGCGCTGATTTAATGATCATATGAGTGTAACTGCTATAATTTGATCCTTAACATGCATATTTCTCCTTTACCGTAGTTTGAATTCAGTTGTAAGTTTTGGTGACTTGCTGGGCTTTTTATTTTATTATATATGGTTAAATGATTTCAGGTCAAGGCAGAGAGTCAGGAGTATGAGACTAGTCAGGATTCCTTAAAGTTCAATTTTTTTATTTTGGCTATTTTTTGTACTCAGGACAATATATATATGTGTTGATTTATAGATCCGTAGTGTATATGATTTTTGAGAATGAATATCGATATGTACATTAATGTTTTGAATTATAGAATCTATTTTTTGTTGTTTATTACTAATAGAGGATATTAGATAGCTTTAGTTGTTATTTATTAAAAGATAAATAATAATTCTTCCAAATTAGATTCTGCGGCATTACAATATTTATCTGGGTCAATATACAGGTTATTACAGTTGTGATGTCAACGTAACAATATTCAGCCTCATTGGAGGAATATTTTGCAATATTTTTTTTTGTGGCACTCAAGGGTTGTCATTATGATATATGACGTGGGTGCTTGTAGCGATGTATTTGTGATTATTACCTACCGAATCAACATTATAAAATGCATCAAGTTGAAGTGGAGAGTAAATGAAAGTGTCGCAATTAATGGTGTCACATCAAAATCATAAGCCATTTTGCTGCAATCCAATGATCAGTGGTGGTTCGGTGCTTAAATTGAGACAATTTATTCCCCATAAGCACTATGTCTGCACATGCAAGAGTTAAGCAGTGTAGACTGGCCACACTAGCTTTATAATTTGTCGAATCAAGGAGCATAAAACTAAAGTGAAGATTGAGTGTTAAGCAAGATGTGTTGTTACTAGAGTGCCATCTATTCTTAATGCGAACAAGGAGATCAAGGATTTATTTACATTGAGATTAGTGAAGTCTATGTGGGTGTGGAACAATTTCCACACTAATATAGTGCAATGGCTTGAGATTATTAATATAGAATCATTGGGCCCCTAGAGTGATAAAATGTTGCACAACACTATCGAAGTTACATGTGATAATTATATCACCAATATAAACAAAAGAAAAGATAAGTGCATCACTAGTGTTGAGAATAAAGAGAGGCATATTAGTAAGAGAGTTTGTGAAGTTGATAGCAACTAGAAGTTGTTGTAGGTCATTGCACTTGGCTAGGGGTGCTTGTTTGAGGCTATAGAGGACTCTGTGAAGCTTGTATACATATGTATGATGGTTTGTGTCGATAAAGCTTGGAGTTAGTCCATGAATATGTCTTTTGGATATATTGCCTTTGAGAAAGATATTATTGACATTGAGTTGATAGAAATGTCATAGTCGATTGACAGTTATGCTAAGAATTAGTTTTATATTGGCAGACCCAACAAATGGGCTGAAGGTGTCATGATTGTTAACTCCTTGCCTTAATTGAAAATCTTTAGGTGCTATCCAAACTTTGTGCTTGTTAATGGAGCCCTCAGTTATATTTGATTTAAAAAATTTATTTACACCCTAACAAATTTTTAGTGAATGTGCGGGGAACAAGTTCCTATGTTCCATTATGAACAAGAACATTATATTTATCCAACATGGTTCGATGACAATTGTGATATTTGAGTGCTTGGGTTACGTTGAAGTTTTGATGTTAAATGATTGGTTTAGTATGGTCGTGAGTTTTTAGATTGATTTGTGAATGTTGTTTTTGGCTTTGATGGTCTTTAGTTGAGTGTCGTTGGGGTGAAAGGGGATCGTGTTGTGGTGTTTTGTAAGATGGCCCCTGGTTTGCTATAGATGGAGGTGGGGTTTGGTGCGGCTCGTTTGGTATGGAGGCTACATATGATGGCATTATAGAGGGGCATGTTGTGGATGGCGTGCATGAAAGGGTCTTCGAGGAATAGTAAGTGAACATGGAGGTTGTCTTTAGGGGCGCGACAAGATAGGAAAAGAGATGCAAAGGGAAAGATAAACTCAACAAACTATACATGGTAAGTGATAGATGTGGGATGTGGTGGTATTAAGACATAGATAAAAACTTTGAGTGTGAGAGTAGTCAAGGAAGACACGGGGTTTGGAGTGAGATTCAAGTTTGTTTATGGTGTGTAAGTGGGATGCATGGGTAGCAGGTAGTTGAACACTTGAATTTGGGAAGTTGAGATGAAAGTCAAAAGGATATTCATTTGGAGAGGAGAGAGGAAGTATGTGGTGGGGTAGATGATTTATGAGGTAGACTATCATGAAAAACATGAGTCAAATTATAAGGCAGAATGGACGCATAAAATAGGTGAGACCACTTTCAAAAATATGATGATGATGTTTTTTAGAGCGTTCATTATATTCAGGTATGCATTGGGATATTGAGACGAGGGATGCCATTAGTTTGAAATGTGTGAAGAATTGATAATCATTTTCATTTTCAGAGTATAAGGTGATGATTTTACAATCAATGAGTTTTCCACCAAAGCTTTGAAGCTGATGAAAACATCATGAACATAGGATTTTTGCTTAAGTGGATAGTACCAAATATATTTGGTATGGTCAGTTGTGAATGACAAAGGTGACATGTCATTTAAAGCCATCATAAGATTACATGTGAGGTCCATTCATCTGAGAATAATATTTGAAGTAGTTGGGAATATACAATAGTGGATGTAGAGAATGAACTTTTGTTGCATTGACTTGCATTGCAATGGAGATTTGATAACAAACAAATATGGTCAACCTAGATTGAACTGGGACACATGAGAATTGAAAATGGTGTATGCTTAATCTATGATGCCACTCTGACAAAGTGGTTTTGATACCAGAAAAGGCAATAAGTGAAGGTGATTAGGTGATTGGAGTGGAGAGATTTGCCATTCATTGACACCATCTCTAGTTTTCCGTTCAAAATGATTGTCCTTGGACGTAGGTCTTTCACATGGAAAGCAGAGCTAGGAACTTAATTGATACATGGTTAGAAAGATAAAACTGGTATATGAAAGTAAATATATATTCTCAGTATTGGGCTCATAAAAGACATTCTTTAGGGTTAAATTGCAAGCAGTTGAAAGTAAAGAGCACGAACCAATGTTGACTATTGGTAAACTTGTGCCATATTCAATAATATAACATTGTCAAGGTCGTGATACAAATTATGCAATGAGAGATTGCTCAAGTTGGCGGTGACATGGTGAAAAACACCACTATCTAGCAACCATTTGGAAGTGACTGGAGTGTTGTTGGTAGTGTAATGGGCTTGTGGTTACCATGATTAATGTGGATGAGACCCTTGAAGGGAAGATGCTTGTGAATAAAAGTTGTTGGTAGATTTAATGGGAATCAATCGAATAGTGGGGCATTGTTTGATATTGTGATACTGAATACACTATGGGCGAGGACGTGGATGTGAACAAGTACACTACAAGTCATGGTCACTATTTTAAGAGCGAGACAATGAAGTAATGTTATAGAGAGATAATTATGCTCACAATTCAATTTGTAACAAGCAACACTTTAATCTCTTCTCTTTTTAATTTCTAAAATAACTCCTAGTAGTTTCACATCACATGGCCACTATTTTAAGAGCGAGACAATGAAGTAATGTTATAGAGAGATAATTATGCTCACAAAATGGGATGTGCACGTTGAGACATGAGCAAGGTGGAGACAACGCAAGGATGAGTATTGGTAGTTAAATTCATGTGCAATTTATGTGATTGTCATTTTTAAAAGGGAAGATAGAAAGAACTAGACGTTGGGAGAGGGGAGAGAACTAGATCAAGGCTCTAATACCATGTAAAGGAATAGAAGGACAAGAAATATTTCTTTCTTATTCATCAAAGTATTTGATACAAGTTTATATATAAACTAATTTATGAATGTAATAAGGAAATAATTATAATTTTTTAAAATAGTGGGATCTTGTTTTCCTTCTTTGGCATGAATTCGTGGGATTCTAATTTTCTACCTAGGCATAAATCTGCAGGATCCGAATTTACTTCTTTGGCATGAATCCATGAGTTTCTAATTTCCTTCTCATGAATCCATGTGATCTCGATTTTCATCTTTGCCATTTATCTATGGACTTCAACAATTAGAAATTTTGTGGCATATGCATGCTTTATTATTTTGTGCTTCAACATTGACTAATTGAGCATTTATTATTCATACCTTTACAAAAAGCTGCCTGATTAATTAGAAAGAGGCACAAAACTTTAAGAGAACCAGTTTTTACCAATGAGAATCAAATGCTTGCATGCAGGTACGTGTATCTTGGGTTATTCGACAGTGAAGTGAAAGCTGCAAGGTCCATTAGAGCATGGAATTGATTATTCAATGATTTTTCTTATACAGTTCTTAGTTTCTGTCTGGTTGTTCTGACATAAAACACTATTTTTTTTGGGACAACAGGGCCTATGATAAAGCTGCTATTAAATGTAAAGGGAAGGAAGCTGTAACTAATTTTCAGCAAAGCTCTTATAATTATCTTCTTCCCAAGGATGATGGTGAAGGTGTTGACCTAGATTTTTTTGTTGCTTTATGTAGTTAAGAATTGAGTGATTTGTTTGTTTCTTGTTATTGGATAATTCAGTGTAGTTGATTCATTTTTGGTGATTTGACTCAATTGAACAGATTTGGGTCATGGCATTGACTTGAATTTGAGTATCTCTCAGCCTTCTGTCTGCAGTCAAAATAGAAATGTTAATCTGGTGGGCCAACAGTTGTACTATGGCCCATTTGAAGCTTCTGATCAGATCAAGGAAATGCCTGTAAGTTACTTAATTTCATAAATTTTGTTATTATGCATTATTCTGTTATATATTTGGTTCATAATAGTAGCAGCAGCAATCTTCGTCCATTTAGTTGCATTTTTCCCAAAACAAAAAGGGTAATTCCTTTTACTGGCTGATTTGAAGTCCACTTCGTTTATGTCTTATAGTGATTTTAAGAAGCTGTGATGATTGAATTAATAGTCATTCGTGCTTTTTCTATTAGTTCTTTTATTGAACAATATCAGTGTTCGCTCTCTTTTTTTCCCAAGTTTGGAGTCTTGTCATTTTTGTTTTAGAAAAGTTTCTGTTTGTTTGAAGTTGCTTAATTTCAAGATCATAATGCTGATGTCTTTCATTCTTCTAGAGCTTGACCTCCCATAGATTCCATTTGTTCAGGCAAATCTGCTGGCAATGGCACCTGATCATCCTCAAGTCTGGAGTAACATATACCCAGGATTCTTTCCCGTTAATGAGGTAAGCATATACAATTTATACTTACTATGGTACAAATTTAATCTTATGATACATGGTGATGCAAGCAAATATTTGGAAAAGCCCCTAATTTTTGCAAGCAAAAGAAACTCTTCCTAGGATAAAAAGAAAATACATAAAGTACTCAAATTACAACTTTTATAAGATAAAGACGACTCTTACAAACTTATGGAAATAAAACGAACACCTTACAACTCTTGACGCTTACAACCACAAACATAAACAACCTAAAATTGCTTGTCCATTGCTTGAGAAGAATGATACAAGTGGAGTCGAACTTGCGGAGAGAAGAAGGAGATAAGAAGTTGAGACGACGGAGAGGACAAGCTCGCAAGCTTTCCTAGGAAGGAGAGGAAGAAGTGGAACAAGCTCGCAAGCTTTTCCAAAGAAGGAAGAAAAACCCTCAGGTCTTTAGATCCAAAAATCAACCATATCACACTCTTTTTATTCATACAAAACACATTATATTTATAAGAGAAAAGGGGCAGCCAAACAGCCTATAAGATCATTAATTAAACCTATTAAATCATGGGAAATAGAAAACCAAAAGTTCAGTCCAGAACAACACCCAAACAGCCTAGAATTTATTCCAAAACAGCACAAAAAAAGATAAAAGAAATTTGGGTAAAATAGCCATGGGACAGCCAGCCAGGGGAGGAACTGAAGGGGTAGCACAGGGAATCGGGACAGCAGCCAGGGTAGAAACCGAAGGGGCACAAAGGGGACCGGAACCAGCACCAAGCAGGGGAGAAGGACCAACCACGGGAAGGAGCCAAGGAGGGGAAAACTGAAGGGGCACAAAGGGGGGAATGAACCTATTTAAACCAAATTATGAGCTGAAAAAACAGCAGCTCCACACTAATGAGCTAACCCTGGTAGAAGATATAGAAAATCAACCCAAAATTTTACTCAAAATATTTTGACCCTTCTTTGCCTACATCACATGGTTCATGCAGAAAATCCTTAAACTAAATGAAATACCATTGGTCCTGATTCAAAGAGCATAAAATAAGCAAACTATGAATCCACTTAAAGTTATCAATTACATAATCATACAAAAGAAAAAAAGGAAAAAAGGGTTAAAATTTATCTTTTCATCCTTGTAGCCCTAATTTTCCAATTCACACTTAATTTCTTGTATTATCACCGTCCCCCTACTACTAAATGTTAAATCAAATTAATATTATAAATAAAACAGAAGACTTAAGGAAATTTTATAAAATAAAACTTACTCTTTGATAATTTGATGTACCAATGCGTTGTCAACTTATTGTATCAACTGCTCTATATGTCATTCCTATGATACCATACGCTTTTTACTTCTTGCAATTCACGTTTTAGCTTTTTGTACTCTTTTTGGCTTGAGTTTATATAGATAATCTGTCTATTTTTCTTGCATCCATAATCTTTACCAGGACAATATCCAGCCTTGGATCTAAGAGTTGCATTCAATGCATCATCTGTAGCATGAGGATGTTGGCTATCTTCCATAGGACGACTTTCTATGGTTCTTATTTAATCCTATAAAACTTATGAAGGTTATGTTAATCAATAATAGATATTTATTATAAGATTTGAACTATATGAAGGAAAACAAATAAAAACAAACTTAGATATACTCTTTTAGATTTTGAATCACGCCATTTTTCATGCCCAATTTTAGATGTGTGCTAGTATTAATAATCTTTTTTCTTTTTCAATCTTAATCATAAGCTATATCACTTGACATTAATCATGAAATGCAATAACGTCATATTATGAATATTTTGTTAATGTAGGGCATACAATTTTATACTAAACTTGAGCAAATGAACTTTTATCAATCATAGCAACAAACTATTGATTTACACAACATCTCTAATTTGTTTACCTTAATACTGCATATTAATGAAGCATACGAAGTATTTTAAATTAACATACAAAGTTAACTATACCAAAAAATCATCTGACTTAAAAAGTATCATCTCTGTGCATGCCTCTTTAGTTAGCCAATTTGGAACATTCTTCATTCGTTCATTATCAATTACATATGCTTTGTAATGAGAGTGATGATTATTTCTACACTTTTTATACAAATATCTCATTTCTAAAAAAAATATTTATAGAACTCCTCTTCTTGTATTGTGAGCGGGCTTTTAACACTTGCAGTAAAATAATATTAATGACATAAAAAATGATTAATATTATAGATAAAATATTATAAAAACTATTATTAATTAGAAAAAAAATTCGCCTTAATCATCTACCAAAACCTACCTTCTTGATCATCTATGAGACATTGAAATTTGAAATCGTTTGTGCACAACAAGGCATGACTTGGAGGTTCAATTGCTCCAAAATATTTTGCCTCATGTAAATGCCTAAGCAGATGCACCATAATATTAAAAAAGGATTAATATTGCTTCTAACTTTCAAAGTGTCCAAACAATTTGAGGATCTAGACAATTCAAATCACCCAAGCTCAATGACTTGGACGACAAATACATGAAAATGACTAAAACAAAATAAACGACTCGATCGTGGCCGTAGATCGACGGCCACGCCTTGATTCATGCTCTGATGTCCCCATCAATATTGCTTCTAACTTTCAAAGTGTCGAAACAATTTGAGGATCTAGACAATTCAAATCACCCAAGCTCAATGACTTGCAACACAAATCATTGAAATATGAACTTAATTCACTTAGTGATTCACAAACTTTTTGGACAAGAATCTTTGTGTTGCTAGAGGAATACATTGAATAAAAATATGGTAATCATGGTTCTTCATTGTTGATATCCATCTTTTCTTGATGTTTGCAGATCAAGATATATTTGAGAGAGAACTATTTGGTGCTTTTATATTACCCATTTTATATTATGCTTCCTTTTTGTTGTTAGATAAAATTCAACATTCAGTAGAAGTTGACACATTGTTTGCATCTTGAAATTAGATGAAGCTCTGGCTTTGTTCCCAATCCAACCAAATCATACTGACCAACGTTTAAAATTGCGTAAATAAGCCTCGAGGCGGTTTTCGTCCGTGAGGCGAGGCGTAAGCCTCGAGGCGGTCTGAGGCGTAAGCCTCACGGACGCAGAATTGCGTAAATGAGAATTTAAGTGTTTTAGTAGGTAAATAATAGCAAGATTCAATCATACAATAAAAACATCTAAATGATAAGTGGAATTAGTGGAAATTAAGAAAAAAGATGCAATAAAAGCATGTACCGCTCGGTACCGAGCATGTACCGCTCGGTACCGAGCATGTACCGCTCGGTACCGAGCGGTACTGGAAGTTTAAACAGTGGTCGAATAGCTTATACTGATTGGTGCGGTGAATTTTAACCGACCGTGGGACCGGGTTGATGAGGCGTACGCCTCACCTATAATTGCGCAATTGCGCCTTAGAGGCGCGCCTCAGACCCGGTGAGGCGTACGCCTCTGCCAAGAGGAAAATTGCGTAAGCTTCGAGGAGTATTTGAGGCGCGCCTCTTGTTGCGCAATTTTAAACAGAGATACTGACTATTCAATATGTTATTTATCTTATATGTAATTTTCATCAAATTCTTAAGAATATTACAAATATTTTTCTTAATTTGATTAGAATTAAATTGTTGATGAAAAAGATTTTTTCAACTTCCATTGAAAAATTTGATATTTTTATGCTGCTTATGGGTATGATATAGATATTTTTTATGATTCAGATAAAAAATTCTCCTTGAAACTGGCAAGTATTTTAATTAGTCTGTTTATGATATGTCGGACAAGCCATTGAACCCTCTTGTTGACAATCTTGATAAATTTACACATGTTGGAAAATCATTTACAGTCCATGAAATAGCTGCACGTAGTCTAAAATTTATTTTCTAACGAGCATCATATGTTTCTACACCAAACTTCCATAATTCTTTCAATTCGGTAATTAATGGTATAAAAAATACATCAATACTCATTCCTGGGCTATGTTCACCTGTGATTATCCTTAGAATTTTAAAATATGGTAGTTTCATGCATTACCAAGGCGTTAAGTTGTAAGGTGCTAGCATGATTGGCCAAATACTATGCGATGAGCTTAAAGTTCCAAACGGTTCAAAGCCATATGTTTCAAGAGCAAGTCTAATATTTTGCGGGTTACTTGCAAAGTAAACATGCTTTACATCAAATAATATTCACAATGTAGCATCTATAGGGTAGCACATTATTCCGACATCTTCTCTTTTATCCTTATGCTATAACATATCTAAAGCTACCTTATTATCCCTATACAACCATTGCAATCTTGATTTGATAGGAAAATATCGAAGCTCTTCATAAGTGACATTCTCACCCTTTCTTGAACTGTCGTCTGATTTCCTCTTGGGCATTTCATAAATTAAGCACGGTTCCTCAAATTTTAGCCCAATTTATAGGACAATTGTTAGGACAAATATCATATTTCTCTCATTTGAGTCTTAACAATATCTTTTTGAGCATTATCAAGTGACTATAACAAAAATTTTCACCATCAAGAATAAGATTCCTTAATAATTTGAGCTAGGAATCAAATGTTTATTTGTCCAATGATGTTGACTTGTTCATGCGAAGTAATTTCACTATAAAAGACATTTTGGAGTGTTTACAAATAGGTTATGAGTTCTCTTTAGCTTTCAAACTAAAATCAGTAAAACAAAGTGGCATCATTGTTTGGTTCATCTTCTTTAACAACATTTTCAACATCGACATTAGCATTTTCAGATGAAACACTTTGAATTTCATTCACTAATCTGATTATCCCATCATAAATTAGCTCCTATTATCATCAAGAATAGTGCATGCTTTTTAACAGATTCATCCTAGGATTCCCTATGATGACACCAAACCTAATTACTCGAGTTACACCATGTTTAAACAACTGAATTTGACATCATCTCTCCTTTATGACATTCCAACAATTTGCTGAAGGGAACTGAATCACATGCCCTGTTTTGAGTGCTTATAGGCAGATTAAAAAAAATTATCTGCACCATGGATATACAATGTTCTTCTATCATTTAATTCTATCCAATTCTTCTCTCAAGCCATTGTCCTACATTAAAAAACAATGCTCTTAATTTTATAAAGTGCAGGATGTTGATTAAAGAAATAATAAACAAGTTAAAATTTATTTAAAAATTATATAACTTTTATGTTTTGTTTGTGACCGTCTCCTTACTACTTTGCTTTTTAGATCTCAACTACAATTTATGTTTAACCATCACTTTTTCTCTGATTTAATAAATTTTTTTGTACTAGAAAGTTGCTTTTTAAAAGTTACTTTCTCCACGGCAGCTTTGCAACCACCTTTATAAAAACTTGCCGCCTTTCCGAACGGACCCTTCGTCTATAAACCGTATAACAGAAGTTCACAGCACCATATTGAGCTAAGCATATTTTTGGAATGTATTCATTATTTACTCAATGTTAAAACAGTGGAAAAGAGACAGCTCATCACTTAGAATATAATTCTAATCAAACATGAACATTGTATTTATATGTGTAATCTAAATTTTTGTACCTTCAAAAGTGCAATGCGAATTAGTCCCGAGTCCTCCAACTCTTCAGACTATTTGAAACAACCAGCCAAAAATCCTGCTACATTAATGAAATCCAATTCAAAGCAGAAACTCAGAGATGGAAACACAGAAAAGAAAAGAAACCCATTACGGAATGTTACATGGTCCTGATTTTTTCTCTGCTGGTGCTTTTGATTTTTTCTCAGCATCATAGAGTAAGGCTGTGTCCATCCTTCTTGCTCTCGTTTATGATTAAGATCAATGCATTGCCATTTTACCAAATATCATTTACATGGTATTGATATAATTTTGGTATGCGAATATATGCAAGGCATATAAAATTGTCCTTGAATTTTTTTTTGGTAGCTTATTGTTGGTATCTTCTCCTACAAATTGTTTATCATTGATAGTTACATCACAGGAAAGAGCAATGAACAAGAAGGCTGAGGCAGGGTTAACGGCTCTTACCAGCTGGCCGGCCTGGAAAATCCATGGCGTCTCCCCTCTGCCTCCCCATCCTTGTGCAGCATCATCAGGATTCTCTACCACTAGCACTAACGTTTCCAACAGCTCCGCTCAGCCATCACAACTTCCATCAGCCACCACCCCTCATCTTCTCCAGTCTTGCACTCGGCCTCCAGCCACCAGCCATCGCTTTTTTGGCTGAGTTCTAGCCCACTGGGTGGACCCAGGTACATGATCATACTCTTGTGCCTTTGTTTATTCAGACTTTTAATAGTGTATTTATGGTTTGGAAAAAATTATCCCGGTGCCTGGTTTGCGTATGTCAAGGCACCTGTATCTAAACATGAGATTTTATGCTTGGAAATTTCTATTCTTACGTGATATGTATTTATGAAGATGCTTTCATTTTGCGTTAGCTTTTGTATTTTATCCGGAGTGCTTCTATTGTTCTGCATTACTTCCACTCTTGACTAGAGTGGAAGGTTAGCTTTCATGATTTTTTTTTTCTTTTTGTTTGGAATGCTAAGTAATAAATTATTAAGTATTTAGTTCGAAATTATAGAGGTCTTTTCACGCTTACATTGATTTGAATGTCATGTGACTTTTTTGAACCCAACCAATGTTCCTATTGAGTTTGATACTACGTCTGTAAGATTAGAAGAACCCCTCATGCCTGATGATGAGGACATTCACCGTACATTTCGACATCGGCAGGATCGTAGATCGACGGCTATGATTCATAGTTTTTATTTATGTGTTTTAGTGCATTTCTTTTATTTATTTTTCAGTTTTTCATTTGTACCCCTATGAGGGATTTGTGTCATGTTGTAGCCAAGGGCATTTTTGTTTTTTATATTTTGTGTTTTAGAGGCTTATATATGAAGGTCTAGTCTTTGTATTATTTTCTAATGATGATTATGAATGAGAATTCCACTTTCTTGTTAGATCTCTTTGTGAGTTCTTGAGAGGAGAAATCTTTAGTGGGTGAGAGCAATACCCGTTTACCTTGGTGGATTCCAAGGTTTGCGGTTCTTCAATTTCTTTTACTTCCCTTGCATCAATTACCCTCTCCTAAACTTCCCATCACCGGCCTCACCACCCTCAACTTTTTTTTTTTTCTGGAAAACTTAGCCCCTCCCCCTTGCCGCCGTCCATTCCTCCCCCCTTCCCTTCCCCTTCCCTTCCATCCTCTCCTCTCCACTTGCTTAGCCGCCGCCCCCCTCCTTTGGGTTTATAGATTTGAAATTCAAATTTCAAAACCTATTACTTTCTTTCCAAAATTAGAATTTGGTAATTAGGAAAGCATCATAATGAGAATTCAATCAATTGATTGGAGTTTCAAATATTTTCCTATTACTTAAATCTAAGAAAGGAAACCTCCCAATTTAATTAAATTTGAGATTAAATTCAGATTTAATTAAATTCTTACTAAATCCTTGGGGCCCACATAGTTAACTTAAAACTCCATCTCTTCCCTCTCTACTTGGCCGGCCCCCTTCCCCTTGCTTCTCTCTCTCCAATTGTTTTTAATTGCCCTCAATCAAGGCTCTCTAATTACCATAATTCCTCACCTCCCATTAATCCTTTATTTGAATTTGAATTCAAATTCAAATCCTTCTCTCCAATTTCACTAAATTAGAGACTTAATTTTTGGCTTTTCTCCCTCTCAATTTAATCCCAATTCCCCCACTAAATCAGCCCCAATCCCCTCCTCCCTTGCCACCCCTAGTTTTTAATGGATTAATTTGAATTTCAAATTAATTTCCTCCAATTTCACTTAAATCTGAATTTAATTTCAGTTTTCTAAATTTTCCTCAAGTGCTTCCCCAATCTAGTCGCTCCCCTCCTATTCCTCAAGCCGGCCCAACACCATCCCCTCCAACTGTCCATTGGTGCTCCCTCATCTCCCAGCAAGAATGCATGGCAGATCCGGAAGTTGATCACGGATTCGTTTACGGTTCTCAAGAGGAAGTCGACATCATTCAATCACCGTTCTTCGATCCTGGATTTGTGTCTGAAGACACCGTCGAAGAATACGTGTAGTGTATTCTCTTTACTTTGGCGGACGTCATCGAATAGCAGCAACCTACAGGACTGTGGAGGATTGCAGGACGACCACCCGTCTCTCCAACTCTGGCCAACTCTCCGTTGATCAAAACCTCTGGCATTCTCTATCTTGCAGTGACATCACTAGGCTTGCTAATTTTTGTCATCCGCTAAACCTACTTCCAAAGAATGATCGAGAGGGAAACTCTAAGGTAAGAGTTCTAATTGTTTTGTGGTAGATTATTATTAATCGCATATTTGTTTACTATTTTTTTGTCATTATTTCGGATCGCTCTGTTAATCTAACATGTAACCGCATGCTAGAAGAAAGTCAATAATTACGAAAAATGAAAATCCTAGCTCAGTGAATCATTAATTTTATAATTTAATTGCGAAAACAAATTTCTTAATAAGATCTTGCAATTCCGTTGTTTGTTTCACATCAATTCATTTTCCATTGGGTCATACCTTTTAGAGCTCGCTTGCTAGAAACCCATAAAAAAACTTGGATCTAGCAATGTGGCTTAGCCAAAATGATACAAATGAAACGTTATTTGAAAATTATTCACATAAAATTATAGAAAACAAGCATGAGATAATATTTTATTATTTTATTAATCAATAACAGTTATAGGTGGTTAAAGAGTCATTCTGACTAATGAAAAGATTGATGAAACCTCAACCAAATTCATTAATTTTAATTAATTTTTATTAATTATTACGAACCTTGAATAATTAACAATATATACTTAAAAGTAAAAATTAAGAATTGTTTATTTATTTAGATTACTAAAGAATTAATAATTATGTATTATTATAAATTATTAGAATTTTTATGAGATAAATATTAATCATTTAACTAGTAAAAATCAAATGTTTATCATGATTTATGAAGTTTTTAATGGGTGGTTTAAGGTAACTTGAATCTGTTAAGGCTTAAATAGTATTTAATTATTTATTAAGAATAATTTATGTTTGATTATAAATGATGACATCATGATGGTTAAGCAAATGAAATTATGTTAAAATGCAATAAAATAGTTCTAAATTATCTTAATTTGAATGAGATTTATATATGATAAATATTTCTCTAAACTATCATCAAATGTATAGTTAAACTTTGTAATCTCTCTCTTTTTTTTTTTTATTTGAAGTTTTTTGAAAAGTTCCAACAATGGAAGAATTAATTCCTTATGAATAAAAAAGAAACAAGAAAAAATTTCAATAGATTAAAATATATTTTTTATAGTTTGGCAATTTTGTTGTTGTAGTTAGTCTAAATTTTGAGCAACATAAGGGCATCTACAACCGAACGGCATTTTGGCGTTCGCAGTTCATGCGAGCATCCAACCGAGCGGTATTTGAAAAGACGTTTTTTCGTTTTGAACAATGATGTCAATATTGACGACGCACTATTTATGATTGTATTTTTTTAGGGAAAAAAAAAGATAAAGAGAATATTACAAAGAATTTTATTTTTTTGTGTTAGAATTTGAGTTTGGTTGAAAATAAATTACTGTTTGATCTGTTCCTTATTATATTTTGGAGTGAATTCGAGATGTCCTAAAGAATTTAGAAACCCTAAATTTTTTTTTTAAATGTTCATCCGTTAACTACCAGGTCATGGGATTCATCTTTAGCTCTTTTATGGGTTTTTTTCCCCATTGAATTAAAGCATTTAATGCTCAATTCTGCTGGTTGGGTTAAATTTTTAAAATTTTAATTTTTACATATAATATTAAAGTATTTATATAAATATATAACAATATAAAAATAATATAATCAAAATGTCATGTCTCAAAGTTTGTATTCAATATTATATTTTTAAAATTAGTGTGTGCTAGAAAAATTATAACGGTAAAGTATTTAATATCTTAATAGAGGCCTCATATGTACATATATAAAAATGTGCAAATCTATTTGTTTATTTTGTATAGTTTTTTTTTTCTCAAAAATTTATCTCATTTTTTAAAACATATTTCCTATTAAATGATGTATTAAATAGGTGGTATGTGTTCCTTAACATGCTCTACTTTTTCTTCACCAAAAGTAACAAATTGCCCTTTAGAGTTGTGGAAAAAATTTAGATATCTCTATTTATTCTTTATAGGTTTGATTTCATCTCTTAAAAAAAGCTCGGCGCCGTCTTATCTAAGCAAAGTTCTCTCTCATTATAAGCTCCTATGCTTCTTCTATCATGAGTACCAAAGTGCCCTACATGTAGAGTTATGAGTGACTCGCAAAATTTACAATCTTTATGGTGAAGCATTATTCTTTCTTTTAAACGAGGTTTGACAATCTTCATATCGAGAATTTTGGTGCACTTTTTTTTTTTCATTTTTTGAAGCACCAATTCTCTACTAATAGAGAAGTAATTTTTGTCAAAATTTATTGTAATAGTGATGATGCAAAAATAATGTTAACAAAATTGTTTCACTTTGTGGAGTTTAACTTTCAGCTTGACAATATTGTTTATTATTCATACTAATGATACTAAGTACCGCCATTAGCATTGAAGTAATTTTGTAAGTATATAATATGTCACATCAAAATAAGGCTTCTTATTTATATATATGGCAAGTATATGTTTATTCATGTAAGATACTAGCTTGACTGATATTTACAATTGAGTGGCTATAGGTAATGTTGATATCTAATAAAATCTTAATATTCTTATGTAATAATGATCTAATGTTATGAGCACTTCAATTGTGGGGAAATAGATTTTCTTGAATTATTGCATCTATGCATAACTTACATTTTTGATCATTTTTGAAATAATGGTGATAGGATTGTTGATGCTCTTCTTTTCTATGTTAAAGTAGGTTGTAATAAAATATTTTAACATTTTGAACTATCTTATTTTATTGGAATGAGTACCACCCTAAGTCGTAACCTGCGACAAAAAAAATGTTTAGAGAAATTCACTAATAAATTTTTAGCTATCTAGGTTTATTCATTAGAGTACTTCTTGACGAAGTTAACTAATATGGAAGAGAAAAAAATAAATTTATTAAGAATGTTTGAACCATCCGAGATTATTTGTCAGAGTATTGATTGGCGATATTAACTTGTGTTGAAGAGGATAAATTGAGTCCCTTTAAGATTGATTATGAAAAATGGATGTTTTGCGTCAACTATTCGTGAACGATCTTTTCAGGTTATATTAGGATTGTCTAACAACCAAAAATTATTTATCACATATGGTGCCAAACTATTTCATGTTATAACCCTCATGATAGTTGAGGTACAGCCCAACATCTTAGCATTATTTAAAGATTCAACACACAAATAAAAGAAGATTAAAAGAGGCACTAGAGTTTTTGTGTACAAAAAAAAGAACCTTACCCAATAGAAATGATTCCATTATTATTTATCATTATTT